CTCAGGTCAAGATCCCAGGGTCCTGGGATTGAGCCCCGCATCGGGCTCTCTGCTCGGTGGGGAGCCTGCTTCCCTTCCTCTCTCTCTGCCTGCCTCTCTGCCTGCTTGTGATCTCTGTCTGTCAAATAAATAAATAAAATCTTAAAAAAAAAAAAAGAACAGGGTGTTCTCTTACCTTTTTTTTCTTTAAAGATTTTATTTATTTATTTGACAGAGATCACAAGCAGGCAGAGAGGCAGGCAGAGAGAGAGGGAGAAGCAGGCTTCCCGCTGAGCAGAGAGCCCGATGTGGGGCTCGATCCCACAACCCTGGGATCATGACCTGAGCCGAAGGCAGAGGCTTTAACTCACTGAGCCACCCAGGCACCCCTGGCCTCTTACTTTTGAGGTCTCCTGGACAGATGCTAGTCTGGAAAGATTCATTTCCACATGAGTGGGAGGTGCCCACTCCAAGGGCACTCATCTGAGGTTTTACTGATGAAGAAACTGCCTAAGGTCACACAATTTAGTAAATGGCAGAGCTGGGATTTGAACCCAGGTAGCTAGGCTCCAAGATCTAAGCCTTTACCTACTACATTATATATTCTGTTATATATACAGTTTGGGGAGGATGTAGGTATGAAAATTAATAAAGGGAAACCTTACTAAAATGGACTCAGGATGCTAGAAGGGGAGGCTGGGTAGAGGAAACTTACTACTCAATGTCAGTTACAGCAAAAAGTATCAATTATAGACCCAACAGAAGTATCTCAACAGGAAAGAACTGGTCAGTTATAAGCCCCCAACAGGGAAAGATATACATGGTATCTCTTATAAGAAACTGACTACACCTGCAGCTCAGCCACTGAGAAACCATCATTGCTATGAACTCTTGCTTTTCTCCAATAGCCTTTTGTTCCAAACAACCCCTCCCAACATCCTCCTTCATAACAGAATGTTCCTTTCCTTTGTTGATTGGACATGCATATGGTTTTGCCATAGGTTGCTTGTCCTGTGTTGCAATTCTCAGTTATTCCTGAATAAACACATCTTTTGCTGGTAATATAACTGGCAGTTTTATCTTTAAGGTTGACAAAGGGATGTTTGCCAAGCACCCACAGACCCCTACCTGACCCCCTCCAGATTCAGTCCTGCCTTAAGCCATTCTTATGGGTTGGAGTGGACTCCTGGGAATAGGAGGGTTCTGCCTGTCCGGGGAGACTGGGAGTATTCGAGGACCAGAATCTGTGTACTAGAAAGAATAAGGGAGGGAAGGGGATGCGTGGTGGGGTATCCGCTGCTGGTTGTCCCGCTCATGGTAAGCAGGGGCTGCTGGAAATTCAGACTGGCCATTTCTCCCAACTAGCTCACAGCTAGACCGGCAGGCAGACAGAACAACCATTTGCTTAACTGGATACTCATTTGGTTGACTGCATAGCTCATGGACCCACAGGGAGAGGGGCCATTTGAGGAACGGAGGGTGCCATTTCCTGATGCTGTGTGGTACTGAAAATCTAACTAAATTATGCCCGCTGGGGACCGGCTGGTGGTCTGATAGCGTAGAAGACAGGCAGCCTCTTGAGGGACTGACAGGCTGGCTGACTGACAGCCCGAGCCGTTGCTGCCTGCCTGGCTGGTTGTGAATGGCTGACTATTGCTGGGAGTCACATCAGGCCCAAGGGAGTGTGTCTGGATGTGGCACTGTCTGATGATATGTAAAGGCAGGGCTACCCTGAGGGAATTTCAGGCTGACTGATGGACAGATCTGTGATGGCCTGATAAGCAACCGTATCTGGTGAGTGACCATCCACCCTGGCCAAATCACAGCATGCTTGACAGACCCCGTGGTCAGTCACATGCCGAGAATGGCTGCCTGGCTGATGGACAACACGATGGAGGGCAGTGAACGAGTCAGAGGCCAGCTGACCCACTGAAATATCCATGTAGAAACCTGACTGCCTGGCCGTACCAAGTTGGAATCACAGCGGCCCTGAGGGGGCCCCGGTGGGTCAGAGGAGACTGTCCGGATGACTAACCAATGGTGGGCATGCCTCCCCTGAGACATGACAGACCGCTGACCCACTGTCAGGTGGGGGCTTCAGTTGCTGTGACTATTGGCTTTGTGTCTGAGAGGGCGACCTGAGACACTGACAATGACAGCCTGTCCTGACCTAACCACGGCCGCCGGAGGCCACGGCTGGTGGCTGGTGGCTGGTGGCTGTGAGATGCTTTCCCCTGGGGGTTTCAGAGCTGCCCGCGGAGCAAGAGTAGATGGAGAGACCGGCTGCTTGACTGACCGTGTGAAAAAGGGGCAGTCGGAGGGAATGACAGGCTGGCTAACCGTGTAGTCGTCGTTAGCGCCGTCTGTCTGCCTTAAGAGACTCCCGGCTGGCGCGAGGCTCCAACGGGGGCCGTTGTTGACTGGCAGACAGTGTAAATGGGGGGCCGGGGTCTCACTAAACAGTTGTCTGTGGTGACGGGACCCATTGTGTGATTTGAGTCTGGGGACCGGCTGAGCAGCCGTACGTGGCGACAGTCCATCTTGGGAGTCACGGCCTGCTTGGGGTTAAAATGCAGTGACGACTGACTGACGGTGGTAATTGGGGGTCTGACAGGACGGAGAATCCCCCGTGCGGCTGGCTAAGAACGTGATTGGCTGACAGCGTGACAGACAGACCGGCGTGCGGGCAGGGCCTCCGGCAACCTTAGTTGTCGCCGCCGCCGCCGCTGCCGCCCAGACGCACTCTGGGAAAGCGCTGGCTAGCACCCGCCTGCGGGACCGAGCTGGGTGGCGGGGAGGGGTCCGGTCACGGCTCGCCGGTTGGTCCGCGCGGGCGCTGCTCGCGGCGCCGCGCGGCCAATAGGCTGCGCGTTCTCGGCCACGCCCGCGCGAGCTCTCTTCTCGCGAGGCCGGTTAGGCCCGAATGTCGTTAGCCGTGGGGAAAGATGGCGGAAAATTTAAAAGGTGAAGCAGTGGCGGCAGCGGCGCGGGCCTCCTGGCCGGGCCGGGTGGGCTGGAGGGGTGGCGTCGCGGGCTCGGGGCCCCGGCGTCTGAGGCCACGGAGCCGGGAGCCGGAAGCCTGGCGCGGAAAGGATGGGGCTCAGGGAGCCCAGGCCTGGCGCGCGGGGCTGGGCGGGGCTGAGGGGAGGGGGCGCGTGCCTCGGAACGCGGCGGGCGCGGGGCTAAGTGGGGACGCGGGAGGGGGGCGCGCGCCCCTGATCGCGACCAGTCGGCGCGCGCACGCGCGGGGTCTTGTCGGGGAGGCCGCGCCCGCGCGCGGGAAAATCGGCCGCCGGTGACCGTTACCCGGTTGGTGTCCACGCGAGACGCCGGAAGGGGAGGGAAGGGAAGGGGACGGACCTCGTTTTCAGAGTGGGGGGACAGAGGAATCTTCAGGGTGAGGGTACCTCCTTTCCGCGTGATGGGGAAAGGGTTTCCTGTAGAAAAGACTCGCCCGGGAAGAAGGGAAAGGGGTTTCTCTAATAGGAGAGCTGGACTCTCTCGTGTGCAAGGGAAGAGGGGTGACTTTTCCAGTATGTTGGGGAGGGTGGGCTCTTCTGGGTGAGAAAAGCTGCGGGGAGGATGGGCTCCACAGTACGAGGGGGGTCTCTGAAGGCTAGGAATTCACCTGTGGTCAGTGGGGAGCCAGCAGCTGGAGAGGTTAGCTGGGACCACTTTAGTGGTTTAGTTTCAAATGCAAGTTAAGGGGTTTGAAAGGGAGAGGCAGTACAGGGAAAGAGAGGAAAGCGTGGGCACAGGCCGAGTCTCCACTAGGCCTGCCTAAGTGGAGGCGGGGGGGTTAGCACACGGCATAATTTTGCAAAGCTCTTGGACGTTTTCAGGTTGAGGTCTAGAGTATTTCGTTATGAGTTCAAATGTTTGATTTTTGTAATGGGAAGTAGAAAATATTAAAAATAGGATGAGGACTGACTGCATTTGGAGTAAGTGTTCTGTGGAATGATTTGATAAAATGGCTTCTAAAGCACATTGTGCCTGGAATCAGAAGTCTTTTTTAAAAAAATCCGCATCTTGAAAATTTCTGATAGCCCAAGAAAGGTTCCAGGCATACTTAAAAGAATCGTCAGTAACCTATACTATTTGCCGGTTCCTGAATAGAGAGCGTACTACTCCTTTGGGCTTTACCCCTCACAGAAATGTAGATGAGACAGAAAGCCAAAATGCGGGTTAAAAAAAAAAACCCAAAACACCTTGCAGGTTTAAAGGACCTAGGCTGATCATTCAAGGACGCTTCCAGCAATCTAATACCATTCCACAGTATCTTACTCCTAATTCTGAAATCTAAAAAGCTCTGAGAAGTTCAGTTTGGCACCATTCAGTGGCAAAACTAGATTATAAAGTGGGACTATCTTGCCTCTTTATTTCTCCTATTCAATGTAAAAATTCAGATGTTTGCTGCAGAATTACTAATGTGTCTGATTATGGCTTGAAACCCCTGACCACACTGGGGGTGGTAGGTAGTGTGGGGGGCATACCTAGAACTACACTTGTAAAAGTCTGCCCCCCAAAAATCTGAATTCCTAAAGGCAACTACCCCAGGAATTTCAGATAAGGGTTTCCAGACCAGTCTTTCCAGTTAAGCCTTTGTTTGGTGCCTACAGGTTGTAATCCCACCCCCAACCGTCCCGTTCCCCCCCCCCCCCCCGCAATGCACCCTACTGAGATGGGGGGTTGTTCTTTTTATTTTGCAAAGTGGGGAGAGGGATGATTAGGTCCTGAACACCTGGCAGGTTTGCTGGCAGTTTTAGGAAGAGTATGGAGGGAGTTGGAAACTCTGGGAATAGATCCCTTTAGGACAATCCAAGCAGCAGATTCCACTTCGAGGTCTACTGCTCCAGCAGTAGCCTTGGAATGAGCACTGGGGTGGAAGAAGTGGCCTGTTTCTGTTGTAGAAGGGAATCAGCATTGGGAAGGCCTGTGGATTAAATCTCACTGACTCTGAGGCAGTCCTTTGGAAGTCCCAGAGAGGATGTAGGGTCTCCTTTGACCTGTGACTTCACCAGGATGCCCAGTAAGTTCTTTCTGGCCTCCTTGTTGTAGGCTGCAGTGTGTGTTGCAAGTCTTCTTGGAATCAGCTACAGGACCTGTGCCGCCTGGCCAAGCTCTCCTGCCCAGCCCTTGGCATCTCCAAGAGGAATCTCTATGACTTTGAAGTCGAGTACCTGTGTGATTACAAGAAGATCCGCGTGAGTCTGGGTGACCGTGGCCAGGGCAGGGGTGTCTCAAAGAAGCTGGCTTACTGTCCCCTTGCCCCCACCCCCACTGCCTGCATCTGTTTCCAAAGGGAATTTTCTCCTCTGGTCTTAAAAAATTAGGTTTAGTAGGACTTCTTCTTATCCTCATTTTGCAGGTGAGGAAACTAAGTGGCTTTCTCAGGGGCGGGCAGGGGCCCGAATGAATCCCCTAATAAGTCTCTCTTTCCACCTCCACAGGAATACACACCAGCTGCAGGGTTTGAGGTACTGAGCCCTGGAAGGGAGCCAGTGACAGCTAGCAACTATTGAGCACATCTAGTGTGCTGGGCACTAACTCACAGAACCTCCTTCAATCCCCCCTGGCCATACTCTGAAATGGGAACTGTTACCATTGCCAGAGCAGGCGACAGCAGGATAAAGAGAACAGACTGGAGCCAGTATGGTGGGGTTCAGATTTTGGCCCTGTAGCCCTGGGATACTTACGCACGTTCTCTGTGGTTCATTTTCCTCATCTGTAAAATGGAGAGGACTAGTATTATCTAGCTCACACAGAGTTGTGAGGGTTAGTTAATAAGACACAGAAGTTCCTTAGAACATTACCTGCTACATACTGAAAGCTAGGATGATGCCAGCTTCCCCCGCCTTACTTACAGATGAGGGTCCGCAGAGTTAATTAACTTGGCTAAAGCCACACAGCCAAGGAGCCACAGATTCGGAATCTGTACCCAGTGTGTCTGCCTGTGGAATCTGTGTGGTTAAATTGTATCGTCTAGCTGCTCTCTGCAAGAAAATATCCCTCTGCCTGCTGAGTGGAGAGCAGACTGTAGGGGGCAAGGGTGGAACTGGGGGTACCGGTGAGGACGTGAGGAGGCCTCCTACTGGAATCCAGGCGAGCGATGAAAGGGGTGGCAGTGACGATGGTTTGAAGTGGTTAGACTCTGGATGTAGTTTGAAGATGAGGCTGACAGGATTTGCTGAGGGTGGATGTGGGGACTGCGGAAAAGAAGTGAAGGTTGTGACTTCCAAGAGTTGGGGCCTGAAACAGCTAGGAGGAGGGAGCTGATTAAATTAAAACTTGGAATTTAGACAGTAGTAAGGGAGAGCAGGTGATTTGAACCTAGGGATCCTCAGGCTAGGGCCCAGGCTTTGTAACCACAGCATAGACTTATTCCAGAAGAGGTGCGGAGAGTGATCTGGGTCTTACCTACTGGCTCTGGGATGGAGGTCCCACAAGGGCTGGGCCAAGGGTATCGCCACTTACGGTGCCCCCATTCCCTGGTCCCCCCCAACAGGAACAAGAGTATTACCTGGTAAAATGGCGCGGATACCCAGACTCAGAGAGCACCTGGGAGCCACGGCAGAATCTCAAGTGTGTGCGCATTCTCAAGCAGTTCCACAAGGACTTAGAGAGGGAGCTGCTCCGGCGGCACCACCGGTCGAAACCCCCCAGGCACCTGGACCCAAGCTTGGCCAACTACCTGGTACAGAAGGCCAAGCAGAGGCGGGCGCTCCGGCGCTGGGAGCAGGAGCTCAATGCCAAGCGCAGCCACCTGGGACGCATCACCGTGGAGAACGAGGTGGACCTGGATGGCCCCCCGCGGGCTTTCGTATACATCAACGAGTACCGTGTGGGAGAGGGCATCACCCTCAACCAGGTGGCGGTGGGCTGTGAGTGCCAGGACTGTCTGTGGGCCCCCGCCGGAGGCTGCTGCCCTGGGGCGTCCCTGCACAAGTTTGCCTACAACGACCAGGGTCAAGTGCGGCTGCGTGCCGGGCTGCCCATCTACGAGTGCAACTCTCGCTGCCGCTGCGGCTATGACTGCCCCAACCGCGTGGTACAGAAGGGCATCCGCTATGACCTCTGCATCTTCCGCACGGATGATGGGCGTGGCTGGGGTGTCCGCACGCTGGAGAAGATCCGCAAGAACAGCTTCGTCATGGAGTACGTGGGAGAGGTAGGGAGCTGGGGCCCAATGTGTGTGTATGCGTGCGTGCGCGCGCACGCGCGCGCAGGAGCTCTTCCCGCCGTATGTTCCCATCGTGTGCGCTCGGCTCGCCTCACTGCATGCCTGCAGCGTCCCTGCTTTTCCTGTCCCGGGAAAGGTGGGGGGCGGCTAACCCTGAGTGTGACAGGGACATCCTGACAGGGGCGCGCATTTCAAGCTGGTAGTTGAAAGCACAGCGAAATACTTCTCGACTGGGTTGACCTCGACTGGGTACCTGGCAAACAGGAAAGCGGGAACTGAAATCGGGCCGTTCCTTTTAACAGGCCATGTGCTCAGCATAGGGTTGCGTCACCTGGAAAGGCACTACTTCTCATTTCGCAAGGGTTCAGCTTACCGCCACGCAGCGTCTGACCAGGAGGAGTGCCTTTTACTAATGGGAACACGAGCACCCTGGAGTAGGACGCAGACAAGCCTTAACGTGGGCTGCCACTTCCTCCACATTTGCAGGACACTAGGGAAAGCCTGGGTATACGGTTGACCCTGGAACAACAGGGCACCAGGGGAGGGGGGTGTGCGGGGAGGGTCAGGGGCGCAAAACCCGAGTAGTCAAATCTGCGTGTACCTTTTGGCTCCCCAGAAACTTAACTACTAGCAGCCTGTTGACCTTACTGATAACTTAAATGGTGGACTGATACATATTTTACATGTTACATGTATGATATAATGTTCCTTACAGTGAAGTCAGCTAGAGAAAAGAAAATGTTAAGACAATCATAAGGAAGAGAAAAGAACACTTAGAGTCCCCTACTGTATTTATGGAAAAGAAAATCTGCCTGTAGGTGGGCCCATGTCGTTCAAACCTGTGTTGTTCAAGGGGCAGCTGGATTAGGCAGGCTGGCCGCCGTACGTACAAGCCCCAGAGCCCAGTGGCCTCGCACATTCGATGTCTCTCTGCTCCCGTCAGTCCACCCCGGGTGTTCGGGTAGTACCCTTCTGTACAGCGGCATGGCCGCCTGGGCTCCTTCCCTCTTGTGCCTTTGTTGTGCCTTAGAGCCGCCCCTGATCCTCACTCCGCATCGCTGGCAAGCGGGCTGAGAGGGTGGAAGGGGAGGTCGCTCATGGGCCAGGCCTGGATACAGCGCCCATCACTGCTGCCCACACTCCCTGGCTGGAACCGAGTCCTTGGCCTTACCTTGGTGCAAGGGAGGCTGGGAAGTGTGACTCAGCCGTGTACCTAGGTGGAAAACAAAAGGAGTGTGTGTATGAATAACCAGCAAGTGTCTGCAACAGCAAATGTCATGTTCTAAGGTGGGATGCGGTGTGCATTTGGAGTGGAGCAGTTCTTTTTATGTCGGACCATCTCATGCACTGGGGGAACAATTGACATCCCTGGACCTTGACCATGTAAATCCATGAGAGTGTTGTCATGGTGACAACCCCAGATATCTTCATCTTTCTAGATGTCTCTTAGGGCTGTGGTATAGTTGGGAAGTGACAGAAATGGGCCTAAGGGACACACACCTGAAGGTGTGCACACCGTAGTAATGACACTGATGGAGAGGAGAGACTCCCAATAATGACCCATGAAGTAGGTGCGGTCATAGCCCCACGGGGCAGAGATGATCTAGAGGCAGAGCAGTCCACACTTCAGAGGACCCTGAGAGTCTATAGACAAGAAGTCCACACTCAGATAATCCCGACAGTCTGGAGAAAGAAACGTCCACACATAGAAGGACCTGCCAGTCTGGAGGAAGGAGAAGGTTGCCATACCCCAGAGGGATCCTGACAGTCTGGGACGGGGATCCTGACAATTTGTGGGAAGAGGGGTCTCTGTCCCAGAGTGACCTGAAGGAGAGAGCAAGCTCTCCACACTCCACAGGACCCTGGCAGTCCAGCTTAGGCAGTGTCTACACCCATACTATCCTGACAGGAAAAGGAAGTGTCCTCACCCCGGAGGGACTGGGACAGTCTGAAGGAGATGGGGTCTACACCTAAGAGAACTCTGACAGCCTGGAGAAAGTACCCATGCCCTCAGTGTTCTGACCCTCTGGTGGAGGTACCCACACCTCCGAGGGATGCTAACAGTGCAGGAGATGTTAACAGCCTGGAGGGGTGTCACCAGTCTGAAGGGGGACATGTGCACACTCCAGAGCCCCTGACAACCTGCAGGAGGTGACCAGCCCCCACAGGAGCCCGCTGGTTCTAGACGAAGTCCAGAAAAGGGAGTGTCTCCAGCCTCACTGTACTGACAATCTCGAGGAAAAGCTCTTTATAACACAGAGGATCCTTACGGGTGAAGAGGAGGGAGAGTGCACAGCCCCTAAGTACCCCCAGGGTCCCCTGGTCAGGGTGCTGTTCTTCCTTAGCGTCTACACTCCTCCATGCTGTAAACTTGGGGTGGTCAGGGCTTCTCATCCCTGTGCCCCCTCTTCCCGCTCCACATACACTGTCCTTAAGCTATTTCTTGGGCTCCCTCCTGCCACAATCTGTGATTTCCAGGCCCCCTCCTGATGCTCTCAGACCTGTGGGGCCTCCTGATCGCACCCACCATAGGTCCCTAGATGCTGCCGAAGCCAAACTCCTCTTCGTGCGTCCCGGGGGGGGGGGGGCAGCACAGCCGAGGTTGGAGGCTGGAGCCGAGCTCCACCTCTCAGCAGCAGTCACTCACCCTCTTTGAGCCTCAGTTTCCCAGTCCGTAGAATGGGAATGGTAACAGCACCCACATCATTCACTTGTTAATAAGAATTAAGTGAGTCGTGATGTGCGAAGCACTTGGAAGAAGCACTTGAACAGCAAGTCTTTGATAAATATTAGCCATTACAGTCTGAAATTCAGAAAATCCAAAATGCTCAGAAAACCCAGTCTTTGGTAACCCATATGGCTAGAACACCCAGCCAGACCTGATCTGGGCCGATATGTAACCTAGTTCTCCCACTTGGGGTGAACAGTCCTAGATCTCATTATAGGAGTATTCATTTCCTCAGTTACATGGTGCTGTCCCAGACCCTACGGGTGTCACATAATAGAGGGCACGCACCCCATATCTGGTCGCCAAGCTGTCCTTCTACAGTGTGGACCCAACACCCGCCCTCCCCTCTCCGCACCAACGGTCCCTCCACGCGAGCTGCCTGCCCTCTCCTCTGCACCCTTCCACGTTCCATCAGAACATCCACCCTCGCCCAGCAGAGAACAGCAGCCTAGCTTATCCATTCTAAGACCTGCATTTGCTTCATATTTTACCAACACCAAAAGGAAGGTGCATCTCAATTAAATGACAGTATGTCATCGTTTAATTAGCAGTGTTTCCTTTCTTGGGAAAGGGCACATAAAAATAAAGGAGTGTGTTCGACTGGGTAAGATTGGCACTCGGGACCATTTCTGACCGTGCTCAGCGTCCAGAACAGAAAAGTCGTTCACATCCCTGATCGCGCTGGAGCTTTATCACAGCTCCTGTCAGGTTGCTGCTACCACGATCACCCGCCCCCCCGCCCCGCGCCCCCCAATTCTGCAGATGAGAGCCGAGGCCCAGAGGGAGAGGAACGTGCTCAGAGTCACCAAGCTAACAAAGTGGGTAAAAAAAAAAAAGGCCCAAGTGTCTAAAACTGGTGCGCTGCCAGACCCGGTGGAAGGGTTTTTGGTTTTTTGGCTGAGGAAGCAGGCAGGAGAGAACATTCAGGATGTCCTCTCCAGATGGGGGCAGGGCAGCGGCTGGACTCTGAGTCTTCTGGGTCCTGTTCACAGTCAGCACCCTTTCTAGGCTGCCAGCTTCTAGCCTGTCAGCTTCTAGCCTGTCTTCCCCAGTCGTTCTGGACAGCTGCTAGAGAATGGGGACGGGGCCTGCTCTGTTTCCGAATTTTCTGGGTAGGCCCGCCCTTACGGAGTGGGACTGGGAAGGCGGCTGGAGAAGGAGCCGTTTGTGCCCTGGAGGGCTCACCGCGTGACTCACTCTCGGGGAGACTCAGGAAGCAGGTAGAGGCAGAATAGGCGGGAAGATGCAGACCGGGGAGGACGTGGAAAGGGCAAAGCTGGCTCAGACACCACCCAGCACGCTCGAGAGCCCTCGGAGGCCGCCCTTCGGTCCCAGGCCTGCAGGGGGCTGCAGACAGGCGGCTTCCAGCGCCCGGGCATCAGGAGGCCGCAGAGAAGTGACACCTGTCGTGCCAACTCGCAAGGAGTGTGTGTCCTCGGAAGGCAGAGGAACACGGACCTTGATGTAGCCCTCAGAACGCTTCTGGGGCTCCTGTTGGCGTTCCTCAGGAGAGAGTCCCCACTCTTCAACCTTGTGTCCAAGCCCTTCTGTGACCTGTAGCTTGCTTTACATGCTGTATTGGTGTTTTGCTGCCCTGGGAACCCGAAGCCCTGGGTTTTCTGGCCAGCACCTTGCACTGCGGGTGTCTGAGTCCGTCTCTCTTTCACCAGACTGCGACCACCCCCTGCCCCAAGAGGGCCGGGACCAGACCTGGTTCCTGTTGTCTCCCCTGACCCAACTGGGACTGCGGTGGGCACCCAGCCTGGTCTCCCGTGTCTCTCCCTGCAGACGCGGGCCCCTGAGTGCTGGGACTGGGTACAGGGTAGGCCTCCTAAAAACCCACTAAAGAAACCAGTGAACGAACGAGCCCAGATTTGGACTGTGGGCGAGCCAGGTTCCTCAGAGTGTGGAGTAGCGAGCTGTGGGGCCCAGGTCTCCTCAAGGTGCTCGTGAAGGTCTGGCCGGGAGCAGAGGCTGGAGGTGCTGGGGCAAGAGGCAGGGAGGAGACCGCGAGGGCTCCAGCACGGCTGTCCTGCCTGGAGGGAGCGGAGAGTGGTTGTGGCGGGCGTGCGGGTAAGCGAGGAAGGAAGCCGGGGCCACTCTGGGTTTGCATCCTGTGGCAGAGGTGGTGGTGGCCAGTGGGTGTCTGATGAGAGGTGGGTTTGCATTGCCTGTAGGCCCACCACGGGACAGAGGATAGGTCACTGGGCCAGGCAGCAGAGTGAAAAGAAAGGTACTTCGGTGCTTCTGCTTGTGGGCACTGGTCTCTGAGGGGTGGGCAGAGGTAGCAGGAACCCCGGGAGTGGAGGAGGTGGTCTTCCCTGGTCTGCAGGCACCTGAGGCTGAGGAAGGGGCAGTCTTGGGTCCCATGGGATCCTCCCCCACAGGAGGCATGGTTGGCTCTGCTGGGGCATTACCAGAAGGCTGTGGTGGTCGGCCCGGGGGTAGGGGGGACCTGAGGGGCAGACAGCCGAACACCCAGCTGGGGAGGGGGAAGTGCCTGCTGCCCTCCGAGATCCCAGAGATCCCAGTTGCTGGCAGCGCGGCATCGCATCGGGGCGGAGGGAGAGCACTCACCCGCGTGCTTGCCTCCTCTCTTTCATCTGAGATTCGGGCCTTAGCTGCGTTCTTGCCATCTCAGAATCTCAACGAGGGTCTTGATCTCTCTGGACTGGGGTCTTTTGATATTAAGATTCTAAGTTTTTGCCTTCAGCTCACACATCTGAGTCTCTCCCCCATTCATTCCGTGTCCAGGCCGCTTTCTCCTCCTGGTGTCCTTGCCGCCTTGTGGCGCCGCAGCCCAGCGCGGGCACCTTCTCTCGTGCTGCCGCCTCCCTCCCCTGAACTCCTCACGGAGTCTCCCTGTGGGTTTTTCTCTCACTGCCGGACCCTGTGGCCAGTCTCCGGCACCACTGAGGGACCCCAGGCCATCCGGAGGCCTGAGGAGGGGCGGCAGCGGGCAGCCGAGGCCCAGCGGCCTCCTCTGGGCGCCCACAGACCCCTGCAGTCGCAGCCCCCCCCACGTGCCCGGACCTGCCCCCAGCTGAGCCGGCCTTGGCCCTGCTCCCTTGTTAACCGGCCTGGGCTCTGGGAGGGGCTGGGGGGGGGGGCGGTCAGGAGCTCTGCTGCTTTTCCTGAGCCTTCCTGGCCCCTCTCCCCTCACCTGCGGCCCTTTCCCCAGATCATTACCTCAGAGGAGGCGGAGCGGCGGGGCCAGATCTACGACCGCCAGGGCGCCACCTACCTCTTCGACCTGGACTACGTGGAGGACGTGTACACCGTGGATGCTGCCTATTATGGCAACATCTCCCACTTTGTCAACCACAGTGTGGGTACCCCGCAGGTGGGCGGGGGTCGGGAGGAGCAGGCTGGGGCCCCTCCTCACCCTCCCGCTGTTCTTTTTCGCCTAGTGTGACCCCAACCTCCAGGTGTACAACGTCTTCATAGACAACCTTGATGAGCGACTGCCCCGCATCGCTTTCTTCGCCACAAGAACCATCCGGGCAGGGGAGGAGCTCACCTTTGATTACAACATGCAAGGTGGGGGTGGCAAGGGACGGGGGACAGGGGCACACAGTGACATGGGACATGAGGACCCCTTTCTGAGGAGCTTTAAAATGCCCTTCCTGACTCCTAGTGTCCATCTGGACTCTTGGACCTCTACCTACCTCTTGGGGGCCCCCTCATTTCCAACCCTGGATCCCAACCCTGAGATACTCATACAGACTTCTCCCCAGACCCCTGGGATGTAGGGCTTAATAGTTACGACACTCCTCCTGACTCATCTGGATTTCCCCAGTCTCCCCAATCCTCCCCACTCCTCCCCCCTTGGCCTGGCTCAGTCCAAGCATCCAGACACTCTTAAGGCCTCCAGCCAGTCCCCTTCTTAACAAACTAGCCACCTGAGATGCTCAAAGCAGAGGGGGGGATCTTTCAGGTGCCTCTCTGGATGTGTAGGTGACCATTCCTGACTTCTGTCTGATGTGGCCCTTACCCTGACAGCCCCCAGCCTCCCTCCAGAACCCCCACCCCCTGGCTGTCCTACCAGCACCTGTACAGCTCTCCAGTGCTGAGCTCTGGTCCTATCTCCAAAACACCACCAACCCCACAACCCCCTCCTGACCCAAATCCCAGATGTGCTCCCAGCACCCAAGATTCCTAGGTCTCACAGTGAAAAGGGCAGTGGGACACTTTACCTTGGCTTTCTAACAAGTCCCCCCCCCCCGGCTGTGACTCCACAGTGGACCCCGTGGACATGGAGAGCACCCGCATGGACTCCAACTTTGGCCTGGCTGGGCTCCCCGGCTCCCCCAAGAAGCGGGTCCGTATTGAATGCAAGTGTGGGACTGAATCCTGCCGCAAATACCTCTTCTAGCCCTTTGAAGTCTGAGGCCAGACGGCCAGTGGGGCATAAAGCTGCCCGCCCCCCCCCCCCCCCCCCTGCCCCCCTGTCGAGGAATGACTGCCAGGGCCTTCTGCCTGCCCCTGCCTGCCCCCCGCTCCCCACCTGCCCCGTGCTTGGGGGATGTGGGGTTGCGGTGAGGACTGACCGACTCCAGGAGTCCCCTTTCCCCGTCCCAGCCCCATCTGTGGGTTGCACTTACAAACCCCCACCCACCCTCAGAAGTCATTTTTTAACACCAGGAGCTTCTGTGGTTGAGAGTCATGGCCTATCAAGGTCCAAGGGGTGAACCCAGCTGGGCCCCAGAATGGAAGGATGTTTGCTTTTGTACCTGCTTCTGCCTGGAGCATGAGGGGTCTGTTGCAGGCCCTCTCCCTACTGCCCCAAGGGTGT